GGTGGTGGGAAGAGGGAGGAGGGAAGAGGGTGGTGGAAGAGGAAGGAGGAGGGTGGAGGAGGGTGGAGGGTGGTGAAAGAGGAAGGAGGAGGGTGGAGGAGGTTGGAGGAGGGAGGAGGGAGGAAGGTGGATTTTGAAGGAGGAGAGGGAGGGAGAAGAATGGAGGGTGAGCGAGGAAGAAGAGGAGGGCGGAGGGTGGTGGAGGAAAGAGGAGGAAGAAGGAGGGTGGAGGAGTGAGGAGAAGGGAGGAGAAGGGAGGAGGAGGGAGGAGGAGGAAGGAAGGTGCGAGGAGGAGGGAGGAGGAGGAAGGAAGGTGGGAGGAGGAGGGAGGAGGAGGAAGGAGGAGGAAGGAGAGTGAATGAAAAATGGAAGATAGAAGAAGAGGGTGGTGTGGGGGAGAAGGACTAGGACAGGCAGGAGGCGCCACTATTCACCGTCGCGCTTTCTTCTCGCCACCAGGTGCCGCCGATGTCGCCCGGATGGAGCGACTACAACCAGGGGGCGCTGGCATTCAACGCAGACGGCTATACCGAGCTGACAAGCACACTGGCCGAGGGCATGAGCTTACGAAGTCCGAACCCGTACAACCAGGGGGCGCCGGCGGAGGGGATCGGCCTTCGCACTCCGAACCCGTACACCCAGGGGGCGCCGGCGGAGGGGATCGGCCTTTGCAGTCCGAACCCGTACACCCAGGGGGCGCCGGCGGAGGGGATCGGCCTTTGCAGTCCGAACCCGTACACCCAGGGGGCGCCGGCGGAGGGGATCGGCCTTTGCAGTCCGAACCCGTACAACCAGGGGGCGCCGGGGGTTTGCTACAACTTTGCGCTCACGGCGTGCAGCAACGGTGGCGCCCCCGCCACGCACTACGTGCTCGCCCGCTCGCCAAACGGCGCCCCGGACCCGCGCTCGCCATTCAACAATGGCGTCTACGTGCCGCCGTCACCGACGCGAAGTCCGAACCGCAGTCCGCGCAGCATCCGCAAGAGCGTGTCCCCGACGGGGCACGATGCCGGCGCCCCCTACCTCCGCCCGGCACTCGCCGAGTCGAGCGGCGACGCCGGCGGCGCCCCCTACCTCCGTCCGGCGCTCGCAGAGCCGAGCGGCAACGCCGGCAGCGCCCCCTACCTCCGCCCGGCGCTCGCCGAGCCGAGCGGCGACGGCGGTGGCGCCCCCTACCTCCGCCTGGCACTCGCCGAGCCGAGCGGCGACGCCAGCGGCGCCCCCTACGCGGCGGCGAGCGAGTTGACCTTTGCGACCTTGAAGCCGGTCACGCGTCTTTCTTCGGCCGCCAACCCGCTGCTGCGGACGGTCCACGCGGGGGCGCCACCGCGGCCGGCGTCGCCGCTGCTTCCGAGCGACCTCGACATGACCTTGGACTCGCTGCGCGGCCTCGACTGCGACGTCGGCGAAGTGCTTCGACACGAGTTCACCGTCGCCGGCGGCCTTGACCTCGACTTCGACCTTGACGGCGGCGGCGGCGGCCAGGTGGCGCCGGCGGTGTCGTCGCGGAACGACGGCGACACGACATGGATGTGTTGAGAGAGGCGGCGGGGAAGCCGCGATAAGGTGAGAGGATTCTTGTTTGCTTTTATCTCGGTTTTTTTCGTTTTCGTTGGATTCATTTCGGAGTTTGTTTTTTTTAGCTATTTTTTGTTTGTTTTTTTTGCTATTTTTTGGTATTCTATTTTCGGATGTCTGTTTCGTTATTTATTTTTCGTTTTTCGTTTTTACCGTTCTACATTATTTTTATTCAAGGTTAGGTTTATTCTATTTATATTTTTATTCTATTTCTACGTTTAGTTGTGTTTGTATAATTCTTTATTTGTATTCTATTCGTATGTCTATAATTTTTTGCTATTCTGTTTGAAATGAAAAAAAGGAATGCGGGTTGAACACTCATGGTTAAAGAAATTCTCTCGCTCTCTCTCTTTCTCTCTCTCTCTCTCTCTCTCATCTCCTCTCTCTCCTCTCTCTCCTTCTCGCTTCTCTCTTCTCTCTCTCTCGCTCTCTCTCTCTCTCTCTCTTCTTCTCCTCTCTCTCCTCTCTCTCCTTCTCGCT